AATTTCATACTTTATATAATTATCAATTTGATAAACATTTAGTGAATTGGTTTTCAATTTATGATATTATGTGTTGTGTTTATGTGTTAAGAAGTCATTTGCAGGTGCGAGCGTTAAAAAATCGAAAATTAGTGCAATTTGTATATAATTTATCGAAAAAGAAAATCATGAAATTCCGAATTATTTGAGAATTTTTTTTTTTTAATAGCAATTTTGAAATAGTAAATAACAAAAGTTCTATAATAGCAATATACATTTTCTGAAGTGTTTACTTGTGAAGTAAAGTGTGAAGTAAATTTACTTATTGAAATACTCGCACTTTGTCGATATAATCATTTGCTAAATACGCATTAACGCAATAATTTATAGTTTGCAAATTATATTATTAATAATTAATATGATGCGTGTATAGAAGCTATTTGAAATTAGAAACTATTTTCGACAATATAACTTTTTTAGGGTTTCCTAATTTTATTTTGCATTGAAATTTATATAATATTAAAAAATAAATTTTAATTTATAAATATTAATAGAATGGATTCATAATAAACGTGATACTATTTTCCGTTGTATTTGCACAATCATTAACATTGCCGAAAGACGTGCGTTTTAAATGAACACCTGCATGAACACCTGCAGATGAAAATATAAGAAAATAATGAAATAAAACATCTGCGTTTTAATTGAACACCTGCGAAATTCCTGCACAAAACAGAGATAATAAAAATAGAATATTTATGAAAGTGTTCGTTTTTTTACTCTAAATTTTTATTATTGAAGAAATTTAGAAATTACATATAAAAAATACTTGATTATGTAATAAAAAATATAAATTTTAAGAATGTCTTAATATCAAAACGTTATTAAGATAAATCTTTCTACGAATTAATATCAGAATCTTTAAATAATTAAGAATATGGAAATATGTCTTAAAGTAGACTACTTGGTTAATTTATTTTTAAGAAGATTGCAACTTTCATTTGCCAAGTTTTCCATCTTCAATTTATAAAACAGTGTTTAGAAAAAAAAAAGGAGTATTTACGAAAAGTTATAATGTTATTGTTTCTTTATGCAAAGATAAGAATAGAATAAAATCAAACACCTGCGTTTGATAAGAAACACCTGCGGTTTAATTGACCATCTGCGTTCACTATTTATATTTTTGTTTATTTCTATTGTTGAATTCAAATTTTCAATTCAAATTATGAATTAAATAAACATTCAGTGAATTGGTTTTCAATGTTTGCTTACATTTATACTAAATCAATATTTTAATCAAATATTATAATGATTATACAATAATGGCGCGAAAAATAGATTTGAATCAAAATAAACCTATCCTTTAATATAGATTTAATCAAATTGCATTTTCTTAAATAGTGTTTTTAGTAATGTTAGGAAACTTCATACTTTTTATATAATTATCAATTTGATAAACATTTAGTGAATTGGTTTTCAATTTCTGATATTGTGTGTTGTGTTTATTTGTTAAGAAAAGACGAATGCTCGAATCGGAACGAATCGGAGTAACGAATCACAACTGCAGCTGCGAGCAATAAACAACTCCTTATATGGTTACGAAAACGCGGCTGACTTCGACGCGATATCTCTCAGCGGTACTAAAACGTTTAAATTCGTCACGCCACACCTGCGTAACGATGAGTCATTTGCAGGTGCGATCTTTAAACAATCGAAAATTAGTGCAACTTGTATATAATTTATTGAGAATGAAAATCATAAAAGTTCGAATTATTTGAGAAAATATTCATTTTTATAAATTATATATAAAAAATACTTGATTATGTAAAAATATAAGTTTTAAGAATGTCTTAATATCAAAACATTAATAAGATAAATATTACTACGAATTAAAATCAGAATCTTTAAATAATTAAGAAGGAGAAAAAGTTTTTCTCATTTCATCTGTGGAAATATATCTTAAAGTAAGACATTTTATACTTGATTAAGTTAATTTTATGAAGATTGCAACTTGTATTTGTTAAGTTTTCTATCTTCTAATTGTAAAGCAGTGTTTAGGAAAAAAAAAGGTATTTATGAAAAGTTGCAATGTTATTGTTTCTTGATGCATAGATAAAAATAGAATAAAATCAAACACCTGCGTTTGATAAGAAACACCTGCGCTTTAATTGAACATCTGCATGAACACCTGCGTTTATTTATTTATTTTTTTATCTTCATTTTTGTACTTGTTTATTTCTATTATTGAATTAAAATTTTCGATTCAAATTATGAATTTAATAAACATTTAGTGAATTGGTTTTCAATGTTTGCTTAAATTTATACAAAATCAATATTTTAATCAAATATTATAATGATTATACAATAATTGCACTACTAAATAGATTTGAATCTAATATAAACCGATTTATACGCTAGATAGGTTCCTGAGAAAAACGTGTATATCGGAATTGCAACTTTTTGAATGTAAAACCGCGACTAAATCGAAAAGTATACGAAAAACACATAGAATAGGTTATTTTCAACGTATTTATTTTAATTTACTTTTTTTAAACCGTGTAAAAGCGAAAATGTAAATAAAGTACCGTGTAAAACGAGGGAAACGTGTAACATTTACGAAATGTTATAATGTTATTGTTTCTTGATTCAAAGATAAGAATAGAATAAATTCAAACACCTGCGTTTGATAAGAAACACCTGCGCTTTAATTGAACATCTGCATGAACACCTGCGTTCACTATTTATTTTTTTGTGTTCATTTTTGTACTTGTTTATTTCTATTATTGAATTGAACATTTAGTAAATTTATTTTCAATGTTTGCTTAAATTTATACTAAATCAAAATTTGAATCGAATATTATAATGATTATATAATAATTGCGCGAAAAAATAGATTTGAATCAAAATAAAACGATTTACACGGTAGATAGGTTCCCGAGAAAAAAGTGTAAATCGAAATTGTAACTTTTTGAATGTAAAACCGCGACTATTAGTATATTTTCGACATATGTATTTTATTTTAGTTTTTTTAAACTGTGTAAAAGCGAAAACATGTAAAGAATGTGCAATATTTGATTTTTTATTTAATAAGACATTTTTTGATAATATATTTTTTGTTTTCATAAAAGTACATCTTTTAATGCAAATACTAATTATGTTTGGAACATTCAGTATTTAAATTATTGGTAGATAAAATATATTTATTTATATCACTAATAAAATATTATTTAATTTTATGTTATTATTAGCAGATTTAATTACAATGTATAATGATGTAGTCAATATCAATGAATAATTAATGAATTATTTAATAATATATGTGATAAATTGTTAATTATAATCGCAAACGAATGCATGCGCCAGGTACACACAAAGTTTTATATTTTATAATACTTCAGTTTTCAGTTTATTAATGAAAAAGTTCTCTTTATATTTGAAATTTAGTTATTATAATAATTATTCGTTTGTTATTATTTAAATTAATGCATCATTATTTATATAAATTCAATTTTGTATATAAATATATTTTCCATGATTTTTTTTTTTGCAGTTTTTAATATTGCATAAAATTTAGTGCAAATAAAAGTGTTAAAATATTTGCATATTCAATTAGAAGGTAATAAAAATTGAGTGATTATTCAAAGAAACGGCTTATTCCCTTACAAAAACGCGATTTTTATTTTGTAATTTGATTTTTTTTGTACCGAAAAGCTTCTATCAACGAATTATAATAATAATTAGTAAAATAATATAAATAATTGTTAATTTTGGTTACATATTATTAATTTGATTGAATTATTTGTTAGAAATTTATAGAATTAAATTATTATATTCATTTAGTATTTTATCAAATGAAGAGAACCGATCGTTTGAATATAGTTATTAATTTTTCATTTAAGAAATATATACAATTAGGAAATAGTTTTATTTAATTACCTTAGGAAATCGTATCATCTACGTCACGACGAAACAGCTGTAAACAATTCTTATTTGGACACGACGCGATGCATCAGCGGTGGCTGCGCGCGCTATACTAATTGTTATTAGGCCCACGTTGTCGCCTTTATTGTTTAAGAAAACACGAATGCTCAAATCGGAACGAATCGGAGTGACGAATCACAGCTGCAGCTGCGAGCAATAAACAAA